AAATGAAGAACTGGTTTTCTTTGAAAAATCAACAAAACTGACAAACACCTAGCAGCGGACAAAGAAAGAGAAGACACAAATTACTAGTATCAGGAATTAAACAGAGCATATCATTAAAGACCAAGTAAATATCAAAGGTTAATATGAAAATGCTATGAACAATACTACACATGTAAATTTGACAATTTAGAGAAAGTGGACCAGTTCCTCAAAAACACAAACTACCACAACTCATCCAAAATGAAATAGAACATTTGAATGCCCTCCAACTATTAAAAAAAAAAGTCACATTTGTAATTAAAATTCTCCCTCAAACTGAAATCTTAAGCTCTAGATGGTTTCACTGGAGTATTATACCAAATATTTAAAGAAAACCAACTCAACACAATCTCTTCCAGAGACTGTGGAGTGCTTACTACATGCCAGGCACTGTTCCAACAGTTCTTACACGTCTTGAGTCATTTAATCCTTGGCCCTGTTATTCTCTCCCATATGAATAAAACAGAGTCCTGAGAATTTACGTGCACATCTAGGACATAACATAACCAGGACTCCAATTTAGGTTTCTGGGATATATCTGAACAAACAACACTCAGATTTCTTGTATTATAATCTATCACCCAATATATAGTCAAATTTCACTTTTGCAAAGGGAAGTGCAGATCTAACCAGGACTTGTTCTTTCAACAAGGAACCTGGGATACTACCGTAGTTGGCATTCTCGATAGAAATATATGTTTTCTAAATAAAAGTAGAGGTTATTCCTGCTGGCAACTGCCATACATTTTCCATCTAGATGACCGTTAAAACTTATCTGAAAGAACACAATGAGAAAAGAGGTTTATCATTGGAAATGGTAAAAGCTTCACTATAGGAAAACCAGCCACACCACTGCAATTATAAGAATCAAGAATCAAAACACTGCTTCATTAATTTTTCCTTGTGTTTGTTATTATACCCCATCAAGACTAATTATAGCCCTTCTCATGGATGCTAACAAGCACGATAGAGTGGACAGAAAAGCTATAGTATAGGTGTATCTGAACTTCTCCATTTAGGGAAAACACGATGTGTCAAAAACATTCGACTGACAAAATATGTGCGACTGGTGTTTTCCCTTAACTAAAGAGGAAACATGACTACCTCCCAACAAATGAGAGAAAAATAATTTAACCTTTAATACTTTAATAAATACAACTTGTGCTTATGTACCTTCTTCTACAACAACGAAGAGTCGTACATTAACTCAGCCCTCAAAATAATCCGTGATGCCCCTGATGGCAAGTTTGCAGGATACTTGTCCCATTTTGTATCACAAGATACTGGAAGGCGAGGGCCGTGCTGTTGGGATGTGAGGCCGCCTCTGAGGGACATGGAACTTCGGGGAGTTCCAGGGATTGGCATGGCCTATGTCAGGGCTTCTCCAACTTTTCCAGAAAGGAACGTGACTCCCACTAGCAGAAGAGAGCCCTGGAGCACTTGGGATATGATTGCCGAGTGTTCGGAGTAGGCTGAAGCACGTGCAACTGCCACTCTTTGGCATTTCCATTAGATTTAATCTCATATAACCCCTGCTATGCTCTAGGCAGCATGCTAAGCAGTGCTCCAAGCAAAAGGACTTCAAGGCTTCTGCTTTCTTCTAAATTAAGGATCCATTCCAATTTTACATTCTACAAAGCTATATGTTCAATACAAAAATGCTTCCCACAAATCTTTGCGAAAAAGCGATGCTCTAAGTGGACCATTCTGTCCATCTACCCTGATGGTGGATGGCTTCATACATTGGTCACAGAGGTGACTATATTTTCCCAAGGATACAAATACCCTGTTTTGAAAATTGCAGGCAACTCTCCCCAGGAAGAGGTTTCCAAGGCGGGGGGTGGGAATAAATGCCTCGCTGACACTCTACTCTTCCCCAGTTCTTCTCTGCAAGATCCTTGCCTTATTCAGGCCCAAAAGCATTGCTGGCACTTATTTTTCCAGGAGAAAAGTTCTCATAGCACTTGACAGGACAATTAACACCTAAGGAAACAAAGTTATAATGCTAGCTTCTGACTTCACACATACAAAAAGACTACTTTCTACACTGGAATAGTTCCAATTGTAATCTGATGCATCATTTAATCCAATTTAAAACTGTAATTAAAAACTGTAGCCATGTAGTGCCTCAGATGTGACTCCTAGTTTTCCAAAGTCTTTAGAACCAATCACCAAGGGCGGCCTGGGTGGCTCAGCGGTTGAGCGCCTGCCTTCGATCCAGGGCATGATCCTGGAGTCCCAGGATCAAGTCCCACGTCGGGCTCCCTGCGTGGAGCCTGCTTCTCCCTCTGCCTGTGTCTCTGCCTCTCTCTCTCATGAATAAATAAAATCTTAAAAAAAAAAATCCAATCACCAAGATACCAGGAGAAAACTGCATTAAACTTTTTTTTTTTCCTTCTGTGTCTATAAATATACAGAGATAGACATGAACTGAGGCTCTAAACCTCCATGCTCTACCCTCCAATTCTCTGAAATGTCATTTGCGCAAGAAAGTACCAGGCAACCAAGATTTCCTCAGGGTCACCCTAACCTACTCAGTGACAGGTACAACCTTGATAGGTTTTTCCCCTTTCTCTCTCCCTTGCCCCATCATGTCCTGTTTCCAGCGAGGACTACACTCTGGGGTAAATCATTCAGTAAATTCTTGCTGGGTGCTTTATGTAAGCCTCCTGTCCTGGAGACCAGGGAGAAAAAAAATTTTTTTGGCAAATTGACTAGAATGACTTTGGTTTTGACGAGATTAATGACTACATCCCTAAACAGAGGAGCTTCAGTTGGGAAAGTAATTTTCTCCCTAAACTCTAAAAAAAAAAAAAAAATGACAGTGCAGTAATTTCCAAGTTGGCACAATTGATGGACTTCTGAATTTAGGGGGACATCTAAACTCACAGTTAGAAAACAAAAACATACAACTGAACAGTTCACATTTTCTCCTTCGTCATCAGATCTAAAAGTTCACTCTGGCACCAACACAAAGAAGGAATGATTCCATCAGCAGCCTAACAGATGGCAGGCACGAAATGGCTGTAACCTTCTCTGACAATGCTGGCGAATAGCTCCATGGAGTTTAATTTACCGGGTTGGGGGCTGCTATTTTCTGCCTGACGCGCCTCGTGTATAGCAGGCCTGGCCACAGCTTGGAGAGCTCCATCTCAAGGTCAAGCGGGACAGCTACTCAGGTTAACCCTTCGAGACAAGTAAGGGTCTTGAGTTATTATGGCATCCTCGTTCTGCCCTGGACTCTCCCCCAACAAATGCAACTCAAACTTTTGATCGTAACAAAGCCAACTGCACATTGTAGTGTATTTTTAGGATCCCTTTTCTTCTACTGGCATTTAAGAGACACTGGAGGACTTTTTTCTTGGACAGTAAATTACATTTTTCTGAAGGCCTAGAGGCAAAATTCACCAAAAGGGAGAGGTCTCATATTGCCAACTCCCACCCCCAGCTAGCTACTTAAGGGTTCCCACTTAGGGAAGAACAGACATTATTTCTGAAGGTGGTAGGAATCTCCACCCATGGCTTCAGGATCAGCTGGGGAGCTTTACACAGTCCTGATGTCAGGGCTGCAACCTAGAATCTCTGGGGCTGGCACACCAGCATCAGTAGGTTTTAAAGCTACCCAGGGGGTTCCCATTGGCTATCAAATATGCAAGAAATATTGCACTTAAAATTTTTAATATTGCGTTCTAAATTTCTATAAATTGTTGCAATAACTTAGCATAATATCTATTCTGAGCCAGCATCACATTGGGTTTGTCATTCTTAGGATTTCACCTCTACCTGCCTCGATCTCCCCAATGCTTGTGTGAAGGTTCTGCGGTTTGCAGAATTAGGCAGAATTAGGCCGCACTTGTTAGCATGCCCTGCCCAGACATCAGGGAAACACGATGCTGCAGCCCTGAATTCAGGAATGCTCTCAGACCAGGTGTAATAGAACAATCTGAAAGTAAGAGAAGTTTGCACCTAAATATTCTGTACCTGGCAACCATTATGCAATGCGAAGTTCCTTTGTGGCTCAAATGAGGCAGTGGTCTCATGCAGGGCAGCTCCACCCTTCTATATATAAGGTTGATCCTAGAGAGAACTGGTTATCTCCCGAAAGGTATGGTGTGTTCCTAATTCGGACAGGGTCATCCACAACCATGCAATCTGCTGGTGAGGCTTCAGGGCTGCCAAAGCTACATGTTTATGTGCTGATCTCTCCACTGTGTGTCCTGGGCTGCTTTTTTTTTTTTTTTTCTGCATCCTTTAAATAAGCAACTACTGTTTGATTTACTCAGGAGGTATGTGCATTTGGTCTTATGATCAACTAGTGACTACTGCTGCCATCTGTCCGTATAATGTTACCCCAAGCCTTCTAGAAACCCTTGGGTCAAGTCAAAACAGAAGATAAAGTATGCCTTTTTTCTTGAACACAATAGGTGCTCCATAAATGCTGGCTGAACTGAGGCCATACCCCTAAAGGCACCTGGGCTCTAATAAAAGAAAGGCATCGATGGGGCTTGGACAAGGCATTTTGGAAACAAGGCACATAAAGCCAAATTCATCCAAGTGAAGAGCAAATGAAAAGATCTCATGGAAATCTCACAGAAACAAAGTACAGAAGGCAGAACTGAGCCTCACAACAAGCAGCTGCTGTGTCTCCCTCCCTCTGGAGGATCACATGACTTCACATTGCTGTTCTGTGCTGTGCTTCGTTTCTTCTCTCTCGGCCGACCCTGGACCTTTGCTCCATTAGCACATGGCCACTCTGATCACCCAGTAAGAGGAGCCTCTGCTTATTTCTGGGAGAAAGTTTAATGGCTCACCTTGGGTGAAGCAGGGAGCTAACATCATGTGGTTGGTATAACACCTGCATCTGGGGCTCTTGCAAAGGACTAGGATCATCACTACCAATGATAAACCCAAGCTCTGCTGAGTGATGTGATACCCCCAAGAAACTAAAATTCAGGCATAACTATTAGTCATAACACCTTTATTTCAGAATGTCTACAGGCTTGAATTTTACAGCTATACAACTAATCTATAGATCCAAATCACAATAACACTGCAATCAAAAATACTTTACCGTGCACAAAAATGTGGCCTGAGAAATGTTCGTTTGAATTTAATTTACTTACGTTTCATATTATACAACTATACATATAAAAACATGAGCACAATTGGGGGAGACAACGGCTTCTAATTCAAAAGACATCATTTGTAGCAATATCTCACTTACCTTGAGGTCAAAGATTCAACAAGTGTAGCTGAGAAATCAGGAAGTGATAGGAAAATAGTAAAATAACATCACCAAGTCAACGCAGCAACCTTCGTTCATTTTACTGTTCTCAGAAAAGTCCCTCAAAGCCTCACTCAGATCCGGCTTATTGTTACTTGAGACATATAGGGCAGGGCCATGATTTCTCAGCCCCAGACAGAGTGAGAGGAAGTTTCCTTGAGGCAGGTGAGAATGAGAGAAACAACAACAGGTACCGGTGAGATAAAAGAAACACCACAAAAACCACTGCACAACTCAGCAGAGCCATTCGGTAGAGGGACTTTAACAAACCCAAAGACCTCCTGTAAGAATGAAAAACATAAAGGATGACCTTAAAATTTTCCCATTACTCTTAGTAGGTTCTGCAAAAGCAGGAAAATGTGTACGAAGAGTTACATTAAAGCAAAAAAGTTGTGTAACTTAAAAGAACAATCCTGACTTGTCTGCACCATATCCCCTACAATGTCTGACAAATGGGATATTACCACACATATACTGCTTATAAAATACAAAAAGCAATTTATATACAAAGAATACAGCACCTTTTTTAACCCACCTACGATTGAAACCACAAAAGCCCCTCGTAAAAGCACCTCAATCACACAGGGATAGCCTCAGTCAGCTTATCTCTGTATTAAGAACTTTATAGTGTGTCCTGAGTGGTCAATTGTGTTCATCAGTGGGCTCAAATGACTGCAAAACCTTTTAACACAATAGGAGACACAGCAGGCAAAAACGCTGCCCCCGAAATCAGTGTTTCTCAAAATATGGTCTGTGGAAGAGCACGACTGACTCTCCTGATAAATTTGCTTTAAAATCAGACCCCCGAGTCCCAAATGAAGTTTCATGAATCATCTCCTCTGGGGGAGGACCTGGGAGCCTACAGTTGAGCACACTTCCTCCAGCGATTCCTCATACAAGTAGAAGTATGGAAATCACTCTACAAAATCATCACCTTGAAGTGTGGGCTCCGGGGTGCTGGGTGGCTGTTAGTTAGGCATCTGATTCCTGACCTCCGCTCAGGTCTTGATCTCAGGGTTGTGAGTTCAAGCCTCACACTGGGTTCCACACTGGTGTGGAGGCTACTTTAAAAAAAATAAATAAAAAGGAACCACCCAGTCAGGAGGCAACTGGCAGGGCCTGTGAATTAACCCCTTCCCACCTTTGTTCCTAATATGCTCAGTAAGGCGAAACTCCAGGTTTTGATATTTCTAATTAGTCTTATCACAGGAAAAGGATTCTGACCTATAATAAAAATAAACTCTAACAAGCTCTAATTAACTTCAAAAAGAGCATAAGATTCCTAAGCCATATATGTGAAGCTCAACGCAATGGGTGCCTGCAGAGTGGTAAAAGGAAAAATACTGAGTGACCAGAGGATTTCTTGGGAATGGGAAGAAAATACATCTCAGAACAGTCTTGCATAAGAGGCAGAATGCAGTTTACGTCCAGAACGGGGATAAGCAAATCTATTAAAAATGGGCTGGGATATTTAGGCTGAGCCTTACCAACTCTTGAGGTAGAGGCTGGAAGCTACTGGCAAACATGTTTGGTTTGGCCAGCACAATGTTTTATAAAATTCTGAATTATTGTCAACTTGTAAAAATTGGGAGAATTCTTTTATTTAAAAAAGCTGTCTTTTCTTATCAAACTGGAAATTCAAATAACTAAAGAGTGCCAGCCACATGGCATGGCGGGGGATAGGGGATGGGGGGGGCAGGCAGCAGCGACACAGGTGTGTGCCCCCACAGTCTCCCCAGCAAGCGGCCACCTGCCAGATGCCCAAAGCCATTAGCACTGGCCACCCCGGCTTCAGGCACTTAAGGCAAAAATTCATCTTCTCTGTGCTTCACTCTTTCTAGTTCTCACAAAAGTTATTGCTACAAAGCTCCTTTCCTGCTTCAGAAGTGTTAAGAAAGAAATCAGATAATGTCTGAAAATCATCTAGAATTCACTATAATGCCCTCATCCCTAGCTGCCTATTGGAACCACCTAGGGAGCTTTAAAAAATCTGGACACCGGGTTCCACCCCAGAGATTCCACTGTACTGCTCTGGGATGTGACCAGGTCAGCAACAGGCAGTGTGTAGAGCTCCCTGGAGGTTCTAAAGAACACCCAGGGCTGAGAACTCCCACCTGGAGAGGATGCATGTTGTTGAGTATGAAGCATTAAGTTTATTCCAATGTCAGCCTCCAAATACGGATTTCTAACCTCTCACCTCTGAGATAATTTACATCACCTGTTATTTTGTGAAATGGGCTACCATTCCAAAAGCCTACCAAATACCGTTTACAAACTGGAAAAGGAAATCAAAGCGTGTTCTGGTTTCTACCATTCCTTTTCCCTCCAATACACCTCAAGGATGAAACACTAAGAAAATGAAGTCATCCTAAAGGACAAAACTCAAGCAGCACAAGCAGCTCAAACACAGTAAGAAGCAGCACACACTGGCAGGATTGTATGAAAAAATAAAATTGCTTTGAAATTCATCACTGCGCTAAGTGGAAAAATTTTCAAATATTAAAAAAAAAGAACAATTTCCCCAAGACTTTGCAGTAATGGCCCAATTTTTATCTTAAGCAGATAAACCCCAAATTATTGCCTCTCTTCAAGCTTTCTGTTAGGTAGTGTGCATTTATATTTTGGCTTCCAATCATGGGAAATGCAAACTACTGTCACCTAATTTTCAAACAAGAATACTACTTTACATTACATCTGAAAAGCACATTTTCAAAATGGTTTCGCATAATAATGCCTTCTGTTTATGAGACTTCCACTCTGCAACAGGTGGCATACTAGGCACTTGATACACGGTGATCTCCAATCGGTCCAACAACCTCACAAAGTTAATTCTCTAAGCCCACTGCACAGTTACAAGAAGGAGCTTCAAAAAGACTGAAAATTACATACATGATGGGTCAGTGAGCTAGTGGGTAGAGACCACTGCACTCAAACACAGGTCTATCAAATTCCCAAACCTGTGCTTTTTTTTTTTTTTAAGATTTTATTTATTTATTTATGACCGCGAGAGAGGCAGAGACACAGGAAGAGGGAGAAGCAGGCTCCATGCAGGGAGCCCAACGTGGGACTCGATCCCGGGTCTCCAGGATCACACCCCAGGCTGAAGGCGGCGCTAAACCGCTGGGCCACTGAGGCTACCCCAAACCTGTGTTCTTTGCACTAAACCCCTTTGTTTAATCATGATGAGACAGAGACCTCTGTGCCCAGTTCTCCCCACTTGCCAATGAAACACAGAGAGGCTAATGATCTGCTCCACATCTCACTATGCCAAAGCTACACCCTGTTTCCCCACTCCCCACGCGTACTCTTCAGAAGACCAAATCACACAGCTGAAAGGTCAGGTCATCAAATATACTGATAGCCCTTAGGTAGTGCTTATGGGTAGACAGCAAATGCACCCAATTGCTGAGAATCAGACATTACTCTAAATATGGCTTGTCTTCAACACAGGCCTGGTACATTCTGTTTTAGGCCACCTATGCATCAGGTATCAGGCTCAACTCCATCTGTCCCACGATCTTCTCATGAATCCCATGAGCAAAGATGCTGATAACATACGGGCACAAGTGCCACTCGCCAGGCCTCTAGCCTGTCCTTGGCTTCCCTGACACCATCACCAGGCAGGCAGCAGGACATCCTGAAGAAGGGGAGACGTCGCCTTCTAGGGTTTTTTTCCTTTATTTGCAAATCATAAAGACACTGTACCATAAAAATCTATCTAGAAGGTCTCATGTCCCAGAGTGCCACTCTCTGAGGCAGGCTCCTAGGAGAGTATATTGTGTCATGTCCTGGCAGAAAGGTCTCCTCTTCTTTAAGCTGCCAACACTGTATTCTTAATCTTGCATTTGGAAAACTGCATCAGCGATGTGTTATGGCCATGAAGTGATTCTTGAACAGAAGTAGCACAACATAATTCCCCTGCAAGAGAAAGCAAACAGGCTTTATCACCTAATAAACATGTCTCACCAATCAATACTTATTTGCGTCTTTTCCAAAGCAACTCTTAAAAATGACTTGAATTCTATCACTATGGATAATTCTTAAAGAAACTGCATTTCAGCCTCCTAATGATCTTCGAACGAAGCTAGCACCTTATTTTATTAACTCCAGTGACCCAGAGGAGCTGGTTCAAAGGGGAGTTAAGATATAGCTAAAACTGAGGGCTTAATCATTCCAGTGTGAAAAGACTCTGCTATGTTATCAAACCACACCAAGCCCAGCCTCCCAACTGCCAACGGCAAGAGCAAACAGATGTCAGGGCTATTTGTTTTATTCAAAAATGACAGGAAATCAAAAATCTATCAGATGGACGTGTCAGAAGCAACACCACAAGCATATTGGTTAGTGAGATTTATGCACCTCCATTTTGGCTCATGACAAAATCACCTTCTAAGCTTTCTAATTTTCAAATGCCCACATAGATACACAGGCCAAAGCATTCTGGGGAGCATCTTGAGGTCTGGGCATGGAAGTGGTCATGTTCCACGTGAATTTAAATTATACAAATTTGAAATGTGGTATGATATAAAAATAGTACGTAACACGTCTCCCTATGCACATTCATCCAAATCCCACAGAATGTTTTTTTAATTAAGAACTGCCAAATTCCCCAACTGGCAAACTGAGTCCACTGTAAACAGCACCTAGATTACCACATCACATGCTACTTTATCTGCTGTACAGGATGTATGCACAGGCACTGAACTCCATAAGCAACTGTAATCATCACTGTTGCTATTTTAACTTCATTGTCATAATTTCAATGCTTTTTTAGGCCTTAAAATCATCTGAGTGGTGAGGTTACAGCTAATGCAAAGAAGACAAACTGTCACACTATTAACTTTGGAATACAGGTAAGAGGTCAAATGCTATATGGAAAGGGCTAAACAACCACCACAAGGCTCCTTGATCATAACTTAGGAGGGACATGACTGAAACCACAGGACAGAAAGCTTTTTCTTAAAAGGCAATCCTTTCTTAAAGGACCAGACAGTAAATATTTTAAGCCTTGCAGGAGGTGAGCTCTTTGTCACAGCTATTCACTCTGGTGTTGTACCCATGACAAAGCCAGCAACACAGCTGTGTTCCAATAAAACTTTATTTACAAAAGTAGAGAGCAGGTTGGATTTGACCTGAGGGCAGTAAATGACTGACCCTTCCTCTACAACCTTAGTCCTGATGCCCACCCCCCGCTTTTAATTTTTTTTTAATTTTTATTTATTTATGATAGTCACAGAGGGAGAGAGAGAGAGAGAGGCGCAGAGACATAGGCAGAGGGAGAAGCAGGCTCCATGCACCGGGAGCCCGATGTGGGATTCGATCCTGGGTCTCCAGGATCGCGCCCTGGGCCAAAGGCAGGTGCCAAACCGCTGCGCCACCCAGGGATCCCCCACCCCCCGCTTTTAATGTGACATTTTATTGCTCATAAAAACAATAGCTACCCTACACTACCCTACACAACCATTCTTCCATTTTCTGTAGAGCCAAGTTTGAGAAAAGAAATTCCATTAAAACAGGCACATTTCAAGCTTGCCAAAACTTTGTAATAGTCAAGAAAAAAAAAGGGAAACAATAAGCTGGCAAAAACATGGCAGCAACATCAAAGCCTTAAAATGTTCTAGATCATTTTTTGCAATGCTTCCATAATTCTAAATAATTGTCAAAACTCACCAAACTGTACATTTAAAATTGATCAGATGAATTGTACATAAATAATACTTCAATAAAGTGGATACTGAAAAACAGCTTCAAGCCTTGGCAACGGGCTCTAATTTGCAGTAACTGCATTCATGAGGTAAGAGTATATATCCCTTCCTCTCCATGTGCACCCCTGAGTCATGAATTAAGAGAGCTTGAATTATGCAAATCCTTCAAAAACTCTATTGCATTAAATGACCTGAATACAACTGTCCCACACTAAACTGGTAGTATCCAGACCTCAACCACTTCGCCTGAAAGAGGAGAGTAAGTTGCTTTTAGGAACAATACAAAGCCTTAGTTCACGGCTTAGTCAAAACAAAACAAAAAAACAAGAACATGTGGGTAATTTATGACAACAGGCAAGGTTTAATTTCCTTGTTTCACTTAAAATCAAAACTACAAGTTGGTGTGAGTGTCCTCTCATTATTTTCAGTTGTCTTTCCTCCAGTGTGGAGTATGTCATCATTTAAGCAGAGAAAAAAAAAGTTAAATATGAAGTGGGTGAGATGCTAAAATCAGGGAAAAAACACACAGGAAAATCATTCCTCTGATTAATCTAAAGGCAACAAAATACATGACAACAATCTGGAAGTCCCAGCTACTAGCTTCCTCGGTGCCCTCATATTTAATCTGTCTTTACTCAGAGACCTGACCTCACTTGAAGCAATTGTTCTCAAAGTGCAGGCCCCAGACCAGCAGCATCACCAGGGAGCCTGTTAGAAACACAAGTCCTTGGACGGCACCCCAGACCTATTGACTCAAACTCTGAGAGTGGGACCCACCAATCTATGTTTAACACATCCTTCAGATGATTGTGATATTCAAGGGCGTTCCAAAACATTAATCTCAAGTTTGAAAACCAACGTATACTTGTAAATAGAGTCCCCTCACATTCTCTCATTTAACATGGAGCTGACGATAGACCTCACCCTTAGGAGTGAGATGCGAGCCACACTCAAGTGTGTGAGCTCTAGAGGTACTCGGTGAACCTCACAAAAATGCCTCAAAAATTTTTTTCAAAGAACAGAGTGGATGTAGGAACAAACACACCATATTTAGATTCCATTTCAACATTTTTGAGCACCTGCCATGTGCCGTGCTGGTGCTAAATGAAATTATCTTAGCCTCCCCGGTTATGAATAAATCTATTCACAGGCCTGGCTAACGTGTTCAGTGCCAAAGAACTTGTAGATAAATGTTCATTTTGCTTCTCCTTTGGTTAATTGTTCTCAAACTTTATTGTATATCACAAAGAGAGTCCAAGGTTGGTAATACAATACCCTGTGTACTATAGTTCTAAGCCAATGTAAGGAAATTTTAAGTAATGGTGAATTTACCCAAGACAAAAAATGTTTGCCTTACTCAAAGGTCTTACCTTCTCTTCTCTCACATGCTAAAAATCCAAGTCCAAAAATCTGATAAGGTGCAAATCCATTACACTTGTTTATTAAGCTTTGGTTCGCTCTTAAATAACTTTGTTCTGTCCTCTCCACTATGGGGACCCTTCTTCTTCATGTAGACAATGAAAACTTAAGGGAAAAAATTAAGTAATTCTAAAAACCCCCTGCTATCTGTGAACCCTATAGCATTTGTCCTCAACTAGAGGTGCAATGTGCCCCAGCATGAGAGCGGTCTTTCTACCATCCTCTGCATACAGCAAACTTTGCTAATCACTCTGGGCACCTTTACCCAGAGCCCAATACTATGTGCAAAATGTCAGAATTCTTCTCAGTAGCATCTCAGGCAGCCACTCCCAACCAGTGGAAGTATATACAACTAATAAAATATATTTATTTCACTGGTCAAAGCATGCTCCATTCTTGTTTCTCTTCCTGCTTCAAATACAGTTTATAAACCCCTCCTTTCATTGTTCCCAGAACAATAAAACTCAGCTTCAGTTAATCCTGAACCATGGTCTACCAATGTGTGACACCTGGAGGGTCACAATCATGCTGGATTGTGCTGAGCAGTTTAAATAATTTGGATGCAGTTGCAACCCAGCACGTGGTAGCAAACTGCTCTGAAAATCAAAGAACTAAGTAAATGAAGGTACTGAACAGAAAACAAAAGACCTGTGAGACAGTATCCTCTGTCCGTAACCGGGAGATGTACAGCATGAATAGCCCAGGGAGGCTGATGCGTGACACAGAGCTTAAAAGCATGAAAACATGGCTGGAGTAAATAATTCTGATTTTGTTTTTGGTACTCACTGATGATTCTTTATTCGGCTAAGGGGGCACCACACTGTTCCTTCAGCAGCATCTCCATTATTCTAATTCCCTAGAGAGAGAAGAAAGAAAAGTCAAAATGCCATATTTCCTGGACAAGCACTTTTCCATTATCATGACGCTTTCCCTTCAAGGAATCCAAGTCATGGCCCTATACTCATTTCAGGAAAGTAAGCTCGTGGTCCTACCTTACATTTTATAGTAATTTTCTCACCAATTTCACATTTTTTTCTACATGTGCTCAGAATTTGTCAAGGGAAGTGAGCACAGGAGTGTTTAGAATCTCCATTTTAAACATAAGAAAACAGTCCAAGAGAAATTAAGTCACTTCTTGCAAGTAGCCCACCTGCTAAGTGGCATCGCCAGGGCTAGAATAATAATGGTGATAATTAGCATTTATTGAGCACTTAACAAATGCATCACACTGGTTGCTTACATTTTCTTGAACATGGTCCTGGGCAGTGGGTGCAGAGTGTACCACGGAGAGCCCTCCAGCAGCTGGGCGCCCCTTCCCCGCTGGCCAGCACTATACACTGCCGATAGCACACAGCCACCCTCAGCCAAAAGGGGCTGCCTTACCTGAGGTCATGTCCCCTCTCCAGGGGTGGCCCACATCCAAGAGCCCATGGATATAAGAATCTAAAAGCCCAGTCCCCTTCCCTCAACTCCAGACAACTGTGAAGGGCACCCCATGTCTAGGCATCCCCCTGGGATCGACTGAGACCTGCACAGCAACATTACTACAGTTCAGTCCCCTCCTGCCTGACCCTGTTTCCCCCACTCCCTCACGAGAGAGGAGTTGGCAGGGACCTCTGTCTCTGAGTCTGTGTCCCAAGAGCCAGCCTAGGAATAGATACAAGCCCCTGAACAAGTACTATTCTTACTCCCATTCTACATGAGGGGGAGGAAACAGTAACTCCAAGAGGTTTAAGCAATTTTACCAAAATCCTGCATCTGTTGAGAGAACAGAGAGCCATTCTATTCTGGCATCAGAGGGCCCCCCTGACCCTGCTGCAGGCTCACTCACGACTGCACATTCCCCCTGCCCACACACCCACCTTGCCAAAATCTGCCTGGAGGTTAGAGGGAAGCAGATATGCCCTCTTTGCCTCCTTCAAGAACAAGTTCTGCAGACCAGAGGATAAGCCTCCACATGGGAAGAGGATGATGATGTAATTATGAACTGGAGTTTTAAGGAAATCAGAGTTGGATCTAGGGGGAATGGGAGACACTGTCTGCAGAGACTAGAGAGCAGTTTACAGGGAACAGTAATGATCTAAGGGAACTTAAAACACAGGTCCCTAGACCCCTCACAGGAAGACATTGACTTAATAGGACTCAAGCAGGCCCCAGGGTTCTGCACCCAAGCACCCAGGTGATTCCTATGATCTGGCAGGTCTGGAAAACAATGAAGGAGCTACAAGAGAAAGACCAGGGCTTCCTATAAGGGGTTTATTCTGTGCCACAGCAAGGGGGTGAGCCTCTAGGAAAGACCTTAAAATATACTCGGTGCCAAAGGACACCGAACAAAACGTGACATTTCCTTGAGGTTTCAGATGCTGCTTCAGATTGTGGCGAGCCATCGCCACCAACACTGCCACTGTCCTGCTAGAAGGAGTATCAATTAAAGGATCCCGACAGAAGGCTGAGAAGCGCAGAGCAGGGGTGAAATAAGCAGCAAACACTAAGCCCAGGAGCACTGCTGTCAGAGTCAGGAGAGACCCAGCTTCTGGTCACAGCACGGCCACTCCCACTGTGGGGTTACTTAAGTTGAGTTCCTTTTTACCAAGGAATAACTGAGCCTGGAGAGCTCAGGGAACAGCAAGGCCAAAGGGATAGGGCAGCTGCATGCTTAACTGGGAGGGGATCCCATGGGAGCACAAAGGGGATTCCCAAGCCTTACTGAGACCCACACCATCAGAATTTCTGGGGCTGGGGTCTGTAACCTGTAGATTTATAATATACCTCATGTGGTTCTGAAGCACAACTGGTTCATTTACTAGAATTTGTAAATGGCAGCCTGACACCACCTCCAAGATCCCCTCTAGCTCTACCAGTCTGAGACTGCATGGAATAGTCCTCCCTCATGATTTTGGAAGATACAGTACATACTGTACTCCTACTTCGAGCTACCTGCCTTGCAAAGAATTAGGTAAGGAGGCAGGTGGGGATGAAACAACCAATGCAATGAAATTTAACCTAATTCTTAATCTAAGGTCTGACTATGCTCATTTCTGCTCTCATTCCATCATCAAGAGATCCACTCAACAAATATTACGCACCTCCTGTATGCACTGGAGATTAAATGGTGAACAAACAAGACAAAGCCTGTGCCCTCATGGAGCTCACAATCCAGTCGATCATTTTCATGCCCCTTGTTTCCATTTGTTTGTTTCAACAAAACCCTGAACAACAATCAAACACCTTCCTTCTATTTTCAGGAAGAATAAAAACGGCTGCATTAATTCCAATGCAACCTTCTTTTTGCAGAGTGGGCCCCTAAATCCGGTGGTATGTCTTTATAACCAGGAAAGCACACTCCCTCCTTAGGAAGTGAGCACTGCCAAACTCTCCCCATCTGTCTAAATTAAGAATGCCACCACTTACCCAGCTGAACACTAATTGACATAAGTGAAGACTTTGAGGTTTGCCTTGGGAATTGAAAGACGTTATTTATTGAATCAATTATGTTCACAATGTGAGAGTTGATTTTTCTTTCCCTTTTTCCCCCCTCTCATACCACTTTAGTCTTTTTAAGGAGAACAGTTAGAAATAGAAGGTGGGGAATGGGGGCAGAGAGAGAGAGAGAGAGACAGAGAGACAGAGAGGAGAGAGAGCAACCTATAAAGTGAATTTAGGAGAAAAAAAAAAACCTAACAGGGAGGCCAAACCATTATTTAGTACCTCTCTTTAGTATGGAGGTACCAAGTAAAAGCCCAATCGATAGAGTCCTTTCAAATAAAGTTCCAATGCTTAAAACTCAACCCCTAGGAGATCAGGCTTAAAGAGGCTAAATTTACACCACTTATCACACAATGATGCCTGAAATGCAGAGCAAACATTAAGTGAATCCACCTTTATAGATATGGCTTAAAAGCTTTTTGGGCTGACAAACCATAAACCAGCTTGATTTTATTATTCCTTTCCCCTCTGAGATTTTTTTTCTATTACAAGGCTATCTTTCTCTATTTGCCAATGTACAGATAAGTGAGCCCTCTCACAGTCTCATTTCCCTAATACCAACACTGCTGGCCAAGCATATCCCCACAAAGATGTCCCAGAGTCTCAAGGATTCAAAAACACTTCACCTAGCCCCCACCCTGAGTCTCTGAGAAATAGCTGATTATTTTGGGAAACAGAAAAGCTTGTTTGAAGTGGAACTGAAACAAATTGGAACTAAAGGTGGCAAGATCCAGACAGTATATTTATTTTGTTCTCCAACCGATGCCTTCTTAAGAAGCCCTGATTCACCGAGGAGGTCCCAAAGAGAGAGATATTAGACTTTATAAAAATGGCAAAGTTCTAAAGCAGTTCTCAAAAGACGAGTCTATGGGGTGCTCTTAACTAAACAAGAACTGTTCACCTAATTATCACAATGATAAAATGGGTGCAGAATCTGGCACACAAAAGGTACTTGATGTTGATGGATTACAAGACTGATAAACTGATCACTTTCGAATGCCAGGCTGATGAGTCTGAATTTTAGCATTACCGCAGCTTTCTGTCCAGTAGTTAGTATTCTTCAAAGTGCAATGGAAAAGGCCAAGATAACAAGGGCTGCCACGGGAGATGAAAGAACAAAACAAGGAAAGAATAAAGAATGAAAGTTTAAAAAAAAAAAAGTGGGAAAGAATGATGTGAAAAGAATTTGCCAGCAAAGGCTGGACTTAAAATGGGTCCCGAAGAATCTGGATTAGTCAAGAGTTTAGAAAGTACAATAATGTCAAATGCTGAAGTTCACATTATGAAACCACTCACCCTTTGATAAAAACATTTCCATCAAGTTTATACCTCACTTCTTTTTCTAATTTTTTTTTCATTCAGTTGGTTTACATAAAACTTTCTTCAAATCTTTTCATTTACTCTGTGTAGAATCCTAACAGTATGAATAAAAGGAAAGATAAGAGTATGTCTCTCCCTGCTTCAACCCTCCTAGGGTGTCCCATTGCTCTTAGTATAAATGCACACTCATCATTATGGCTCCAGGGCTTTCCTACGCAGCTCAGTGTCCTGCAGATACACAGGCCTGCTCTCCATTCATGCAACATGCTCAGTTCCCTTCCCCTTTCATTCACTGTTCCCTCCAGCAGGAACATCCAACTGGCTACCTCCTTGCAATACTGAAATGTCAACTCACCCAGCACCTCCTCAAGGATTCCTGACTGCCCTAGACAGCCTGGATCACACAGCTTGTCCTACTGTCTTTATAGCATTCATCACTAAAAAAAATTATCATGCTTTTTAAAACATTTTGGACTGTCAGCCATCCCCTCTCCCCGATAGGAAAAAAATTCCAGGAGATGGGAGAAACATGTGGCCAGTGCACTTTATCTGTGGGGAAAAAGGGAGGAATCTGCATCCAGTTTTCTCATCAAAAGGTAAGAGAAATACTCCTCAAAGCTTCTCCAGGAAGATATCTTTTGCCCAATAAAGCATCTTTTAATCTAATGTAGGTTAATTCTTTTACATTTAGGACTTCCTCATCCATAAAACTGAGATAACACCACACAATAATAATCAAAATTATTGGCACATACTGCATGCCAAGCACTGTGCTTAGTGCCCTACTTGCAATTAGCTTATTCTATCTGCTTTAGGGGATTATTCTCTCTCTCTCTCTCTGTCTTTCTCTCTCTCTTTTTTTTTTAGAGGAGATCTAAGGTTCAGAAAAATTAAGCATCCAGACCAAAATCCACAATAAAGGAAAGAGTTGTGATTTGACCCAAAACAATCAGGATTGGGAGTCCAGGATTCATGATGTTTCAGCATGGGGGGTGGGGGGGCTGAAGGCATAAATGAGACTACATATGTGAAAATGTCTTAAAAAAAGAA